TGCACGAGGGTTGACCAGGTCTGTGGCAAAAAGGGTTCGCCGTTCCGTACCGTCCAGCCTCGCACTCTCAATTTTGTCCAAGCCGCTGTCCGTCCAAAACATGGTGCTCCGGAGGTGGTCGATGGCAAGGCCTTCAGGACTGATCAGGCCTAAGAGAGCAGAAGCCAAGGAAGGAAATACAGGACAAGACCTCCTTTACATACTTTCTATATAAAAGGGTTACAAGAGGAAATCAGGAAGGGAGTGGACAGCACAAAAGAGTTCTCCTGTCAATGGTTCTTTGATTCAAAGGATGGAGCTTGAAGAACACTATCATGTAGGAAGGTAGCCATGAAATATCAGTAAAAGTAACTCTTGGTTATGCTACCCTAAACCTGTGAAAGAATTACAGCCATTGGATGACATAACATGGACATATTTTGTAATTTGCTCTGTTCTTTTAAATTGGGAGAGGTGCTTAACACATTGGATTACAACAAACCCAAGAAGAATTGAGCTACATGTTGGTTTACCATTCAATAGCTGATCCAATGGGTCTACTCCAGTTGGAATGAACTACGTGATATGGCATTGTCATGTACTATCTGCTTTTGTAAATAGAATGGCTTCCATCAACCCAAAAGGGAAGGAGATGAGCAATTTCAAGTTAAACATGAGCCAACAATGTGATGTGGCGGCAAAAAAAGCCAATGGGATTTTGGCCTGCATCAATAGGAGCATAGTGTCTAGATCCAGGGAAGTAATTCTACCCCTCTATTCTGCTTTGGTTAGACCACACCTGGAATATTGTGTCCAATTCTGGGCACCACAATTCAAGAGAGATATTGACAAGCTGGAATGTGTCCAGAGGAGGGCGACTAAAATGATAAGGGTTTGGAGAACAAGCCCTATGAGGAGCGGCTTAAGGAGCTGGGCATGTTTAGCCTGAAGAAGAGAAGGCTGAGAGGAGATATGATAGCCATGTATAAATATGTGAGAGGAAGCCACAGGGAGGAGGGAGCAAGCTTGTTTTCTGCTTCCCTGGAGACTAGGACGCAATGGAACAATGGCTTCAAACTACAAGAGAGGATATTCCATCTGAACATGAGGAAGAACTTCCTGACTGTGAGAGCCGTTCAGCAGTGGAACTCTCTGCCCCGGAGTGTGGTGGAGGCTCCTTCTTTGGAAGCTTTGAAACAGAGGCTGGATGGCCATCTGTCAGGGGTGATTTGAATGCAATATTCCTGCTTCTTGGCAGAATGGGGTTGGACTGGATAGCCCATGAGGTCTCTTCCAACTCTTTGATTCTATGATTCTATGATTCCCTCTGTCCCATGTCTTCAAATATATTATTTGGGGTCATGAGACCTTCTAGACAAGACTGAGGATGTGTCACAGGGAGGAGAGGGAAATATTATTTCACATACACCCCCTCCCCCCAGTGTTTGTTGAGGCAGTTTAGGTGGATTGGTCCTACATGAATAAGCAGTCAGTTCAAAGGAGCTGTCTGTGGTGCTGAATCATAATGCCAATGCAATTTCAGCACCTTGGAGAGCTCCATCACCCAAAAGCTAACCCTCTGATAGGAACGCCACCTTTGTCCAGTGGATATGAGTCACCTACCTGAGCTGATGACCGTCTCCGGCTCTGCCCCTGGCTCCAGGCTCGCCCGGCTGATGCTCCGTCCCGCCACGTCCGTCCAGTACATCATTTTCCCACGACAGTCATAGCCAATCCCCACCACAATGGATCCCTGCAGTGGTGTTGTGGGAAGAAGAAGACACATCCAAATGGTTAGAAAGAGATCTTTGTCTAGTCTGTGGGTAACAAGAGTCCAGAGTGAAGTAGGTGTTGGCGTTAGTAGAGTATCGCAGAAGCTCAGAATAATGGACTCTGGAGTCTCCAATAAAAGCAGAGTTCAGCTTTACTTAAGCAGCTCAAAATAGACAACATACACCATCAGCGGACAGATGTGAAGAATACAAAACGAAAGAGATAGGCACTAATTCAAACTGCAGCTGGAAGGAAGTTTATCTCTGGCACTCCCTAATCTTTCACACAGCAAGAACTCAGGGTCACATTCTCACAGCTTGTTATTTTGCTGTTTAACCCTTCTGTGTCAAACTACATCCTGGCAATACAATTCTATTACAATTACAATCCTATTACATAAAATTACATGTAGCATCCATGTACACTGCGCAATTAATGCAGTTTGGTACCACGTTAACTGCCATGGCTCAATCCTGTGGAATCATGGGAGCTATATCACTGTTTGGCAGAGTAGGATAAAGACCCTATCAAACTACAAATCCCAAACCTAGCAAGTAAATATGTGTGACTTGGTATTATTACTTATACTCTGCCTTGAAAATCACTTCACTGAACTATGGAATAAATCTATAGAACAGATGCCTGCAAACTTGGGCCCTCCAAGTGTTTTGGACTTCAACTCCCACAATTCCTAACAGCCTACCAGCTGTTAGGAATTGTGGGAGCTGAAGTCCAAAACACCTTGAGGGCCCAAGTTTGCCCAAAACTGCTATAGAATGAATAAAATGGAGATATATTCCAGGGTTATCAACAAAACTGTGTTGAAGTCTTTGGTGGTCCTTGCCTGTGACTTTAGGTTTGTTTACTTGTTGAATCTTCTCAGTTGCAAGCACTCCAGTCACAGTTATCATTACTGTCTAATTATTTTATTTATTGAATCATCAGCAACCAGTCAATTATATTACATTTCTAACAGAACAAAGCAAACAAACAGGCAAAATACAAAAATACAAAATACAGAATACAAAATTTGTGAGTTTGGTAGTTGATTAAATGTCCTTTGACCAGTAGCTGGCCAGTTGGAGTGCTTCTGTCTAATTGCGAAGGCTCTTCTAATAACATGAGGATGTCTGTGTGAATTGCAAGCATGCACCACTGTTGTAATTGCTGCTGGATTTTTAGAAATTTGACCAAACCTTCTGGAATTGTAACTACAATACTTTATGGGAGGAGGCCCATGTGTTTAACCCCCAATCCTATGAACAACACATGTTTTTGACCTTCTGCTTTGCTCCATGAAAGTGAAAGAATTGGTCAAATGGGGCCACGGCCTTCCCACAGCCTTGTCTCCTCGGTTCCCCTGCAGAACCTTTGGACATCGTGCTCGAGGTCTGTTCCAAATGAGGAAATCAACACAATCTGTCCTGACAAGAACGTAAGTGTGTGTGGGTTTGCTAAGGCTTCATCTCTCCCTCAGGAGGTGGTCTGAGGAACATCTGCCTTCTCCCCTAAACACATTGTTCCCAGACTGATTCTTGGAAGCGCTGTTTGCAAACATGTCTTGGCCTGGAACTCCCAAAATTTGGAGCAAGTATTATTAACAGTTAGAGACGGAGCCTTTAAAGGGGGATCTTTTCTCCCATTCACCCACAGAGCTGCAAGTTCGAGAAGGAGGGGAATTACTCCATTGTGGTTCCATTTATTGCCTGGAAATTGGCCAGGGAAACAACAATATAGCTGTTCCTCCACATTTGCTGTTTTGACGTCTGTAGTTTTGATTACACAGCCACACCAAAGTATTTTTTTCTTGGATTTTAGGCCTGCTTCTAGGGTCACTTGGGGTACTGATTCAGAAAATTGCTTAGGATGCACCACATCAGCTCTAGTTTCTTAAATATAGTTACTTTGATTTTCTGTACATGAGCCAATGGTGACTGGTATACAGCCTGTATCTCAAAAACATGGGGAAAACTGGTGCCATTTTTGGGAACTGTGGATCAACTATACCCAGAAAGAGGGCTAAAACCTGAAACACCAAAATATGTGTTGACCAGTGCATAAATTGCCCACTCAAGGAATCTCTAGATCCTCCGGTGCAATTCTGTGTTCCACTTCCACATTGTTTAGCAAGGAATTTCAATTGGTTGCTATGAGTTTTTTGGGCTGTAAGGCCATGTTCCAGCAGCATTCTATCCTGACGTTCCATATGCATCTGTGGCTGGCACCTTCAGAGGTTCTGTTGGCAGTGAGGCAAATGGGGTGTATACAAGGGTTGAATGAAAGATAATGCCTCCACCTTCATTACTTGGTTTTGGATGGGAATATTTTAATAAATCAAACACACAAATAATCCTTAGAATGTGCTCTTTAACGACCACTATTCACTTTTCCCATATAATCACCAGACAATTGGATACATTTCTGACAACAATGAACAAGTTTTCTGAAGCCGTCAATGAAGAAGCTGACACTCTGTTTCCGCAACCAGCGTCTCACAGTTCTCTCAACGTCTTCATCAGAAGCATAATGATGTCCCCGCAGATCTTCTTTCATTATCGGGAATAGATGAAAGTCAGACTATGCTAAATCTGGACTGTATGGAGGATGCCGTACGGTGGGGAGATCCAGTCTTTGAAGTTTCAAGTCTGTGTGCTTTCATTTCCTGCGTCAGCATTCTGGTACCCATCATGCACAGATCTTCCAATAGCCAAGCAAAGCAATAATGTGACTCACATGTTCTTGTGAAATGCTGATTATGCTTGAAATTTCTCTCTGAGCGATATGACAATTGTCCTGAATCAATCCGTCAACCTTTTGCTTGTGAAACTCAGTGGTTGCTGTCACAGGACGTCCAACCCTTTGTTTGTCACGCAAGTCAGAAGTTCCCATCTCAACATCTTTAATCTTATTCGCCCAATGACGCACAGTACTCACATCAACACAATCATCATAAAGAGCTTGCATTCTGTGATGAATCTCCTTTGGGGCGACACCTTCTGATGTCAAGAACTCAATGACTGCACGTTGCTTAAGTCGCACTGACCGACCGTCTGCTCAGAGTTCCATACTTTGCACTTTAACAACACAACCGTTCAATGCTAAGGCTTCCCACCAAAATGGAACTGTAGAGGAGAGTCTACTGAACAAGCCAGTACCTGCCGCATACCAGTACTGCCATCTGTTGAGGAGTTACGAAGGTGGAGGCATTACTTTTCATTCAACCCTTGTATATACCTGTGGAATATCCAGGGTGGGAGAAAGAACCCTTGTCTGTTCGAAGCAAGTGTGTATGTTGCAAATAATAATAATAATAATAATAATAATAATAATAATAATAATAATAGTTTGTTTATATTCCGCCCTTCTCACCCTGAAGGGGACTCAGGCCGGATCACAGTGCACATACACGGCAAACATTCAATGCCCCTTTGTATAGACAATACACAGACAGAACAGAAGGAGGTGGCCATGGAAGGTTGGGCTCGAGTCCAGCCATAGTGGGGTGCTGTCACTCCATCCTCTATGACGAAGAGCTGTCAAGACTTCCTCCTTCCTTTTGGTCACACAGCATTTTCTGATCTTCTCTCTTTATGGCATCATAAAACACTTCCCCCACTTTTAGCGGTACCTAATTTCTCTAATTACAGCTAAAGCTGTTTTTGAACTGCTTAGGTAAACAGTGAGCTAGCCTGACAATCAGCAGCTTACGCCGACCCAGGGTTTCAAATTTGCAACCTTTTGTTTGATAGATCTTATAATTGCTGGTGATTTTACCAGCTGAGAAGCCATCAAGCAGTAAAGTCAATAAGTTAGGCTATCTAAATAGAAGTATCCTGGAGGCATCCTCTGTTTGGCAGGTGTTCACTGGCAGTGTTCCTTATTTACTGTCTTGATTCTGGTGTTTTTTAAAACTGGTCACCAGAGTTTGTTCATTTTCGCGGGTTTCCTCCTTTCTGTTGAGATTGTCCACATGCTTATTGTGGATTTCAGTGGCTTCTTTCTGTCGTCTGACATGATGGTTGTCAAAGTCATCTAGAATTTCTGTGTTCTCAGATAATATTCTGTGTCCAGGTTGGTTCATCAGGTGGCTGACTTGTTGAGTTGAATTAGTCTGTAGTGCCTTTCATGTTCTTTGATTCGTCAGGAGAGAATGCTACTGGGACATGGCCATACAGTCCAAAAAACTCACAGCAACCCAGTGATTCTGTCCACGGAAGCCTTTGACAACACAAGGAATTTCAAGTCCACCCTCTTTAGATTGAACTTGGGACCATTTTTCCAGAAGGAGATGAACTTGCCTTATGCTATGCCAGAGTCAATTTAGGCTAGAAATATTGATATTGATTGGCAGAAACTCCAAGGAAGCCCCTTGGGTGCTGGACGAGTGCCTGGCCACTGTGGCTGTCTGGATGAGGAGGAACAAGCTGAGGATCAATCCCGACAAGACAGAGGTCCTCCTGGTCAATCATAAACTGGATCGGGGTATAGGGTAGCAACCTGTGCTGGATGGGGTTGCACCCCCCTTGAAATCGTAGGTCCGCAATCTGGGTGTCCTCCTGGACTCATCACTTACGCTTGAAGCTCAGGCGTCGGCGGTGGCCGGGAGGGCCTTTGCACAATTAAGACTTGTGCACCAGCTGCGACCGTTCCTCGTAAAGGCGGATCTGGCCAGGGTGGTCCATGCCTTAGTCATCTCCAGATTGGACTACTGTAATGCGCTCTATGTGGGGCTGCCCTTGAAAATGGCTTGGAAATTCCAGTTGGTCCAACGGGCGGCAGCCAGATTATTAACTGGTGCTCCTTTCAGGGAGTGGTCAACCCTCCTGTTTAAGGAACTCCACTGGCTGCCGTTCATTTTCTGGTCCCAATTCAAGGTGCAGGTTCTTACCTACAAAGCCCTGACCGGTTTGGGACCCGCCTACCTGTGTGACCACATTTCTGTGTATGAACCCACACGATCTCTTCGTTCATCTGGAGAGGCCCTCCTTGCGCTCCCACCTCCATCGCAGGCGCAACTGGTGGGGACGAGGGACAGGGCCTTCTCAGTGGTGGCCCCCCGACTCTGGAATTCACTTCCCAAGGACATCAGGCATGCCCCAACTCTGGCAGTCTTTAGGAGGAGCCTGAAAAGGTGGTTGTTCCAGTGTGCCTTCCCAGAATAAGGAATTCTCAGCATTGTGCCCTCCAAATGCACTTTACATTGATTTAAGATTGTTGTACGCTCCCACTAACGCCCCATCTCTCCTACCTTATTCATGCCTAGCATTATTTTTAACTTTAATTACATTTGGCCCAGCCATAGATTTTAATTGTGTGTTGTATTATTGCCATTGTATATTGCTTTTTTGTTATGAGGCTTATTTAATCTGTTTTACTGTTGTTGTTGTTGTTTGTATTGATGTATTGTGGGCTCGACCTCGTGTAAGCCGCACCGAGTCCCTTGGGGAGATGGTAGCGGGGTATAAATAAAGTTTAATCATAATAATAATTAATAATAATAAAAAGCTTCAGAGTCATAGGGAAGAATCTTTCCCAGTCCAATGGGGAAGAGGTTGGGAACTGAGCCCAAGTCATGCCTGTTCATTCCCATCCCTTTGCAGCCCCCTTTGCTCCTCACCCTCATTCCCACTGGGCAGGAGAATACCTTACATGCAAGGAGAGCAGGGTCCTGGCAGCCTCCTTCTTCAGCCGGGTGCCGTTCAGGGGCAAAGCACCAATTTGCTGGCCCTGAGCGTAAAGGAGGAACGTCCCCGCAGAAGGTGGGACCACATCAGGGCGAGGAGACGGGCGAACTGTCGGAGGAGCAACACTGGGCAGGCCTAGGACAAAAGAAAAACAATTGCAAGGCATGAGACACAGGGTTATCAACCCTTCCGCTCCCCTCTTCTTGACAAGCTTTGTCACTTGATTGCTGCATTCTTACATGGTGGAGGGACGCCGGGTTCCGACCGCGTGCCTTGGACCTCGCGGCCGTGTTCGTCCACGCACCAGCAGTAGCCACTGTTCCCGTGGCATTGTAAGGGGTTAAAGTGGCCCAGAGAGTCACACTGGGGCACATACTGGTCGTCCTGTGGGTTGCCCCCGTAATGCTCCAGGAGGCTCTGTCTCCAGCGCTCACACATGGTCTGCGGCCTCCGAGTTGGCTCTAGGACACAATATATGTTAAGGTTAAAAAAAGGAAATGCAGAGATATAGGATAGATGACACTGTCATAAATACTAAAAAATAACTAGGTATTTTTAATTACAAAAATGTGAGTCAAGGACTGAAAGGGTTAAATAGATGAAATGACTCAGAAAAGATGCAGTTCAACATAAGCAAGTGTGCCTGTACGCCTCAGTGTTAGCTGCCCTCCAGAATCATAGAATCATAGAATCAAAGAGTTGGAAGAGACCTCATGGGCCATCCAGTCCAACCCCCTGCCAAGAAGCAGGAATATTGCATTCAAATCAGCCCTGACAGATGGCCATCCAGCCTCTGTTTAAAAGCTTCCAAAGAAGGAGCCTCCACCACAATCCGGGGCAGAGAGTTCCACTGCTGAACAGCTCTCACAGTCAGGAAGTTCTTCCTCATGTTCAGATGGAATCTCCTCTCTTGTAGTTTGAAGCCATTGTTCCGCGTCCTAGTCTCCAGGGAAGCAGAAAACAAGCTTGCTCCCTCCTCCCTGTGGCTTCCTCTCACATATTTATACATGGATATCATATCTCCTCTCCGCCTTCTCTTCTTCAGGCTAAACATGCCCAGCTCCTTAAGCCGCTCCTCATAGGGCTTGTTCTCCAGACCCTTGATCATTTTAGTCGCCCTCCTCTGGACACATTCCAGCTTGTCAATATCTCTCTTGAATTGTGGTGCCCAGAATTGGACACAATATTCCAGGTGTGGTCTAACCAAAGCAGAATAGAGGGGTAGAAGTGCTTGTGGTGTTTAGATTGAGGGGAATAATAGTCCCACATTATTCTACTTTGGTCAAACCTCACCCTGTGTCCAGTTCTGGGCAAAGGAGTTCAAGAAGGACATGGATATAATGGAAGGGGTCCAGAGAAAGGTGACCAAAATGATCAAAAGTCTGGAAAACAATCCCTTTGAGAAGCATTTTGGGTATGTTCAGCTTGAAGAAGAGACGGTTGAGAAGAAACATGACAGCCATGCTTAGATATTGGAAAGGATGTCACACTGAGAAGGGGGAAAGTTTGGTTCCTGCTGCTTCAGAGATTAGGACACAACAGAGCAATGGATTCAAACTACAGGAAAGCAGATTCCATCTAAACTTTAGGAAGAACTTCCTCATGGGAAGAATTGTTGGGACAGTAGAATCCGCTACTGCCTTTGGAGCTTCTGGAGGGTTTTGAGCAGAGGCTGTATGGGCATCTGTTGGGAGGGCTTGCATTGTGTGTTCCTGCCTGGAAGGATGTGGTTGGACTGGGTGGCCTTTGGGCTCTCTTCCAGTTCTAGGAGTCTATGCTGAGAGCAGAAAAGGTGAGCTAGGAAGGAAGGCATCACTAACCTGGAGCCCTGCAAAGCGGTGGAGGAGCACCAGGAGGCACCTGTGTCCCGGGGATCTCGTTGCCATCCCTGTCCACACACCAACACATCCCGGTGCTGCCGTGGCATTGCAGTGGCCGGTAGTTCCCCTGGTCATCACAGTCTGGTACATGGGGTCCCCCCGGGAGAGACGGCCCCCGCTGGCTTGCATACAGCCGCTGGTGTTGGCAGCGGGTCATTGCTGGGGGCAAGGTCTCTGTAGGGCAGAAAAAGTGTGTTTTGCTCAAGATTTTGCAGCAGGAGTACAAAGATGACCGTGTGCAATGCAGGACCACAATCCAAAGGTTAACTTGAGAGAGATTTCACTTCTGCACAGAGAATTATAGGTTCCCCTCTTTCTCCCCTCTTTGGAGGAACTTTATAGGTCTCGCAGCATTAAGAATGCTCAGAACATTCTTGGGGATCCATCTCACCCAGAAACAATATTCCCTCGCTACTTTGCAGTTCACTTTTCATGGACACGTTGTTTCACAGGATTTTGCCTCCCAGTTTATGAATGGTTGCCATTGCCCAGAGTGGCGTTCTAATCCCACCTCCTGGCAACAATGGAGTGCGGAAAGGGGTTTCACCCTTCCCCTCGGGACAGAGACAGCCAATCTGTTAGGGATTCCTCCTCTTCGGAAGAGGAAGGGGAACAGGGACGTGCTCAGGAATTGGAGGGAGAAGAAGAATCAGGCAATGAGGTTGTGCAAGTGCCTACATTTCTAGAGGGACAAAAGGAGACAGAGCACAGGCGGCGTTCAGCTAGAACAGCTGCTAAAAACACTGAGCTAATTGGGAGATGCCCTAGCACCTCCTGCGTGGGGAATTCAGGGCTATAAATCAGAAGCAGGAGTAGTCAGTGACTCTGATGCCGATGTTTTCACTCCAACTGAATCTGGTCTGTGCCTGCTGCTAAGGACTTGGTAATCATTGCCCGTTGTCTGATGGAAGACTGCTGTTTCTTTGGGACTTTGAAAGAGACTTTAATTTGTGTCTGTATTAAGACTTCCTTGCTTTCTTTTGCATTTTTCAACTGCATCTGTTTATCTGATAGCCGACAAAGCAATAATGTGACCCACACATTCAACTCCTTGAATGTGTGGGTCACACATGCTTGAAATTTCTCTCTGAGTGATACGACTTGAAATTTCTCTCAATCGTCCTGAATCAATCTGTCAAACTTTTGCTTGTGAAACTCGGTGGTTGCTGTCAGAGGACGTCCAACTCTTTGTTCTCACCTCAACATCTTTAAACTGAGCGTGGGGTTGTGTGCGGGTGTGTGTGTGCGGGAAGCGGCGCGGCGGGGCTTGGAGTGGGCATGGTTTCCGCAGAGGGAACGTTGGCCGGAAGGGCATGTGCACGCGCCAGGGAACTTGCGGCTGGGCGCCAATGCGCATGCTCAGTTGTTTTGCCGTTTTGTGAGTGTGTTGTTGTGTTGTTTTTCATTTTGAGTAGATATGTTTGTACCTTGTGGGTTGTGTTATGGGCATGGGAATTTTGGTTAAGTTTCATGGGGGTTTTTTGAGTTTTGTTGTTTTGCCGTTTTGTGAGTGTGTTGTTGTGTTGTTTTTCATTTTGAGTAGATATGTTTGTACCTTGTGGGTTGTGTTATGGGCATGGGAATTTTGGTTAAGTTTGTTGGGGGATTTTTGAGTTTTGTTGTTTTGCCGTTTTGTGAGTGTGTTGTTGTGTTGTTTTTCATTTTGAGTAGATATGTTTGTACCTTGTGGGTTGTGTTATGGGCACAGGGATTTTGGTTAAGTTTCGTTGGGGGATTTTTGAGTTTTGTTGTTTTGCCGTTTTGTGAGTGTGTTGTTGTGTTGTTTTTCATTTTGAGTAGATATGTTTGTACCTTGTGGGTTGTGTTATGGGCATGGGAATTTTGGTTAAGTTTCGTTGGGTTTTTTTGAGTTTTGTTGTTTTGCTATTTTTGTTTTTATATGTTATTGTATTTGTGTGGGCACTAAGATGTGCCTTTTTGTAAGCCGCCCTGAGTCCCCCCTCGGGGGTTGAGAAGGGCGGGGTAGAAGTATACGAAATAAAATAAATAAATAAAATTCTCTGATGAATCTCCTTTGAGGTGACACCTTCTGCTCTCAAGAATTCAATGACTGCACGTGCACAGTACTCACACCAACAGAATCACCATAAACAGCTTACATTTGTTTAAGTCGCACTGACCGGCCGTCTGCTCAGGATTCCATACTTCACACTTTAGCAACACAACCATTCAATGCTAAGGCTTCCCGCCAAAATGGAACTGTAGAGGAGTGTCTACTGAACAAGCCAGTACCTGCCACATACCAGTACAGCCATCTAGGTGGAGGCATTACTTTTCATTCAACCCTCATATCTTGAGGATGGGAAACAAGGCTAATATGCAAAAATCATTTAGGTTCCATATACACCAGGTATGGGCCAACTTTGGCCCTCCAGGTGTTTTGGACTTCAACTCCCACAATTCCTAACAGCCGGTAGGCTGTTAGGAATTGTGGGAGTTGAAGTCCAAAACACCTGGAGGGCCCAAGTTGGCCTATGCCTGGTGTACACCATAAGGGCATACATTAATTTATACAATACTTTTAATGATTTTCCGCAGGAAACAAAGACTGGCATCGATTGAGCCATCCCAAAGCAAAGGGGTTGCTATTTCCGTCACTCAGAAAGACAATTACAGTTGTTAGTCTATTACAATCACCTGTATCCCATACCTGGAGAGCAGTGGAAACCATCACCTTCATAGCCATCCCGGCAGCGACAAGAGAAGGATCCGGGAGAATTGTGGCAGATGGCAGCTTGATGGCATTGCCCTTCCGCACATTCATCCACATCTGCAGAGAAATAAGAAATCCCATTGCATTGAGCCACGGCAGGTAAAGAGAGTTCAAACTGTATTAATTCTACAGGGTAGATGCATGAATGGACAGTCCTGATTTAATACAAGTTTTCCTCTAAATCAAAAGGCAGTATATCTTTAACCTACAGACCAGGTTGTGGCACAGCTGGTTGGGAACTCGGCTGCATTAAAATCACTACTGACCGAAATGTCATGAGTTTGAAGCCAGCCCGGGTTGGAGTAAGCTCCCGACCATTTGTCTAGCTTGCTGTCGACCTTTGCAACCCGAAAGACAGTTGTCTCTCTCAAGTAGGAAATTTAGGTACCGCTTATGCGGGGAGGCTAATTTAATAATAATAATAATAATAATAATAATAATAATAATAATAATAATAATAATTTATTTATATACCACTCTATCTCCCCGAGGGGGACTCAGGATGGTTTCCAAGTAACATCACCAAAACATACAAAGTAAACAGCCCCTGGACAAGTGCCTGGCCGCTGTGGCTGTCTGGATGAGGAGGAACAAGCTGAGGATCAATCCCGACAAGACAGAGGTCCTTCTGGTCAATCATAAACCGGATCGGGGTATAGGGTGGCAACCTGCGCTGGATGGGGTTGCACTCCCCTTGAACTCGCACATCCGCAGTCTGGGTGTCCTCCTGAACTCATCACTTACGCTTGAAGCTCAGGCGTCGGCGGTGGCCAGGAGGGCCTTTGCACAATTAAGACTCGTGCGTGAAGGCAGATCTGGCCAGGGTGGTCCATGCCTTAATCACCTCCAGATTGGACTACTGTAATGTGCTCTACGTGGGGCTGCCCTTGAAAACGGTTCAGAAATTTCAGTTGGTCCAACGGGCGGTGGCCAGGTTGTTAACTGGTGCTCCTTTCAGGGAGCGGTCAACCCTCCTGTTTAAGGAGCTCCATTGGCTGCCGTTCATTTTCCAATCTCAATTCAAGGTGCAGGGTCTGACCTACAAAGCCCTGAACGGTTTGGGACCCGCCTACCTGCGTGACCAGATTTCTGTGTACGAACCCACACGATCTCTTCGATCATCTGGAGAGGCCCTGCTCACGCTCCCACCTCCTTCGCAGGTGCGATTGGTGGGGACGAGGGAGTTCCAGAGCTGGGGGCTAGGGGGCCACCACCAAGAAGGTCCTCTCTCTCATCCCCACCAACCATGCTCGTGATGGAGGTTGGAGCGAGAGAAGGGCTTCCCTGGCAGATCTTAGAACCCTCACTGGTTCATAGAGGGAGATATGATCAAAAAGATAAGCAGGACCTGAACCATTTAGGGCAGTGGTTCTCAACCTTCCTAATGCCGCGACCCCTTAGTACAGTTCCTCATGTTGTGGTGACCCCCAACCATAACATTATATTCGTTGCTACTTCATAACTGTAATTTTGCTACTGTTATGAATAGTAATGTAAATATCTGATATGCAGGATGTATTTTCAAATCCTAAATACCCGATATGCCCAAATTCGAATACGGGTGGGGTTAGGGGGGTTGATTTTGTCATTTGGGAGTTGTAGTTACTGGGCTTTATAGTTCATCTACAATCAAAGAGCATTCTGAACTCCACCAATGATGGAATTGAACCAAACTTGGCACACAGAACTCCCATGACCAAGAGAAAATACTGGGAGGGTCTGGTGGACATTGACCTTGAGTTTTTGAAGTTGTAGTTCACCTCCATCCAGAGATCACTGTGGACTCAAAAAATGATAGATCTGGACCAAACTTGGCACAAATACTCAGTATGCCCAAATATGAACACTGGAGGACTTTAAGGAAAATAGACCTTGACATTTGGGAATTGTAATTGCTGAGTATTTATAGTTTGCCCACAATGAAATAACATTCTGAACCCCACCAACAATAGAATTGGACCAAACTTCCCACACAGAACCCCCATGACCAACAGAAAATACTGTATTTTCTGATGGTGTTTGCCGACCCCTCTGACACCCCCTTGCGACCCCCACAGGGGTCCCGAGCCCCAAGTTGAGAAACACTGATTTAGGGCTTTGTAAGTCATAACCTGCACTTCAAATTGGGCCCAAAAAGCTATCGGCAACCAGTGGAGCGTCTTCAATAAATGCATCCTTCGACCTTCCAAATACTAGTTTGCCTCTTTGCATCTCTCTCTGTAGCATCACTTTGGAAGGAAATGACCAAGCCATGCCAAAATAGGCTTTCGCTTCCACTTACCTGTGCAGTTGTGCCCATTGCCAGCAAAACCAGGAAGGCACACACAGGTGAATGAGCCACGTTCATGGGGCACACATTGTGCCCGATCTGCTGCGGCGCAGTTATGGGTGCCATCTTCACACGGATTGGATGGAGGGGCAACCACTAGAGCAAGAAACAAGATGGGAGATCAATTACGCTATATAACAAAATGTGAAAAGCATTCTACTCCTGGTTTGAAAGTATTATTTCCTGCTTAATTGTGAGTAGTTGTTATACTCCAGAAACTTTGTTTTTGTGGCCGCCCTGAGTCCCCCTTCGGGAGGAGATGGGAAGGGGTATAAATATAGGAAATAAATAAATAAATAAGTTGAATTGGTTTGAGATATTCATTGAAAAACTATAGCAAAATGTGCTGCAGGATGCTGTCCCTCTCACACAAACTAAGTTTTCCATGTTTTTGTGCTGGAACCAATTAGGAAATGACATTTATGACCCAGGAAAAAACTTGTGTTACATAGCGTTATTGGAGAAGTTTGCAAAACTTTGCTCATTTCATCCTCATGGACTAAAACAGTGGTTCTCAACCTTGCTAATGCCATGACCCCTTAATGCAGTTCCCTATGTTGTGGTGACCCCCAACCATAATATTGTTTTCGTTGCTACTTGATACTTGTCATTTTACTACTGTCATAAATCATAAATATCCGCTATGCAGGATGGATTTTCATTCACTGGACTAAATTGAGCACAAATACCCAATATGCCCAAATGTGAATGCTAGTGGGGTTGGGGGGAGGATTGATTTTGTCATTTGGGAGTTGTAAGTACTGGGATTTATAGTTCACCTATAATCAAAGATCTTTCTGAACTCCACCAATGATGGAATTGAATCACACAGAAATCCCATGACCAACAGAAAATGCTAGAATGGCTTGGTGGGCATTGACCTTGAGTTTAGGAGTTGTAGTTCACCTAAATCCAGAGAGCACTGTGGACTCAAACAATGATAAATCTGGACCAAACTTAGCACGAACACTCAATATGTTCAAATGTGGACTCTGGTGGAGTTTGGGGGAAAATAGACCTTGACATTTGGGAGTGGTAGTTGGTGGGCTTTATAGTTCACCTACAATCAAAGAGCATTCTGAACTCCAACAATGATAGAATTAGGCCTGACTTCCCACACAGAACCCCCATGACCAACAGAAAATACTATGTATTCTGATGGTCTTTGGTGACCCCTCCGACACCCCCTCGCGACCCCCACAGGGGTCCCGACCCCCAGGTTGAGAAACACTGGACTAAAAGGAATGATTTCTTCTGGTTTTAGCTTTGAATATGTTTTTAGTCAATTGTTAAGGATTTTAACTCTGATTTTTTTTTAATATAATTGATATTGAATTCTGTTTTAATGTCTGTATATTGGTGGATTTTGAATTGTATTGAGATGCTTTTAATGGAAGCTGCTTTGAGTCTCCTTGGTGGAGAGAAAAAGTAGGGTGTATAAATAAACATAGAATCATAGAATCAAAGAGTTGGAAGAGACCTCATGGGCCATCCAGTCCAACCCCATTCTGCCAAGAAGCAGGAATATTGCATTCAAATCACCCCTGACAGATGGCCATCCAGCCTCTGTTTAAAAGCTTCCAAAGAAGAAGCCTCCACCACACTCCGGGGCAGAGAGTTCCACTGCTGAACGGCTCTCACAGTCTTCCTCATGTTCATCATAACATCATAACAACAACAACAACAACCAGAACTGCCATGGCTCAATGTTACAGAAACATTACAGTTTAGTGAGGCATGAGCACTGTTTGCCAGAATCAGCTAAAGACAAGGATCTGGAGAACAAGCCCTATGAGGAGCAGTTCAAAGAGCTGGGTACGTTTAGCCTGCAGAAGAGAAGGCTGAGAGGAGACATGATGAGGGCCACGGATAAAGATGTGAGGGGAGGTCATCAGGAGGAGGGAGCAAGCTTGTTTTCTGCTGCCCTGGAGACTAGGACGAGGAAGAATGACTTCAAACTAAAGGAAAGGAGATTCCACCTGAAGATGAGAAAGAACGTCATCACTGTGTGTAAGAGAGCTGTTCAGCAGTGGAACTCTCTGCCCCAGAGTGTGGTGGAGGCTCCTTCTTTGGAGTCTTTGAAACAGAGACTGGATGGCCATTTGTCAGGTATGCTTTGAATGCAATTTTCCTGCTTCTTGGCAGAATGGGGTTGGACTGGATGGCCCATGAGGTCTCTTCCAACTCTAGGATTCTATGGCCTTGTAAAACTACAGCTCCCATTCTTCTGTAGCATTGAGCTATGGCAACCAAAGATGGGGCCAAACTACATTCATGATACAGTGTAGAGGCACTGTATTTGGCACCAGACTTGGCTGAGGCCTCGGACGATGCTCAGTTCTGGCACCAAAGATAGACGCACAGACTTATCCATGCTCCCCAATTGGGTCTCCAAACCAACTTTCTCCAAGATTAAGCCATTTTTTTTTCAATCAAAGCACCCACATAAGTTTGATCAGACTTGCAATCATACAACCAGAGAATCCTTCAGTCTTAAACTTCTCTACAGATGGCCACCCAGCCTCTGTTGAAAACCACTAGTATTTTGGCATCCCAAGTTTCGAAGGATAACCAAAAGCGGAAGTTTCCCAAAGGCAATTCATTTGTGGTGCTTTACTGTTGAGACTCAGCTTGAATCTCAGAGTGATAATGTCAATGATTATGATGAGGATGATGGGATTCAGATTCACAGTTAGGTGCAAAGCGATGTCCCTGTGATAGACGAGGAAGAACAGGGTGAACAGGGTACAGAAGTTCAGTTGTTTCCCACAGCAAGGGATGATGCTGTTGAAACTACTGAGAGACAGGTGCATTCTGAGTTAGGAAGGGAGGAAAGTTGTTCTCAGCCAGATATTTATTTATCGTGTCAGGCAACCGAACAGTTGTATTACATTTTTGACAGAACAAACAAACAAACATACAAAAGACACAGAATTTGCAAGCTTGGTAGTTGATTAAATGTCCTTTGACCAGTGTCTGGCCACTTGGAGTGCCTCTGGTGTTGCCGCAAGAAGGTCCTCCATTGTGCATGTGGCAGGGCTCAGGTTGCATTGCAGCAGGTGGTCAGTGGTTTGCTCTTCTCCACACTCGCATGTCGTGGATTCCACTTTGTGGCTCCATTTCTTGAGGTTGGCTCTGCATCTCGTGGTGCCAGAGCGCAGTCTGTTCAGCGCCTTCCAAGTTGCCCAGTTTTCTGTGTGCCCAGGGGGAGTCTCTCATTTGGTATCAGCCATTGATTGAGGTTCTGGGTTTGAGCCTGCCACTTTTGGACTCTCGCTTGCTGGGGTGTTCCAGCGAGTGTCTCTGTAGATCTTAGAAAACTATTTCTTGATTTAAGTTAGTTGACGTGCTGGCTGATACCCAAACAAGGGATGAGCTGGAGATGTCGCTGCCTTGGTCCTTTCACTATTGGCTGCTACTTCCCGGCGGATGTCAGGTGGTGCAATACCGGCTAAGCAGTGTAATTTCTCCAGTGGTGTAGGGCGCAGACACCCCGTGATAATGCGGCATGTCTCATTAAGAGCCACATCCACTGTTTTAGCGTGGTGAGATGTGTTCCACACTGGGCATGCATACTCAGCAGCAGAGTAGCATAGTGCAAGGGCAGATGTCTTCACTGTATCTGGGTTGTGATCCCCAGGTTGTGCCAGTCAGCTTTCGTATGATATTGTTTCTAGCGCCCACTTTTTGCTTGATGTTCAGACAGTGCTTCTTGTAGGTCAGAGCACGGTCCAGAGTGACTCCCAGGGATTTGGGTTCTCTGCAATGCTCCAGTGGGATTCCTTCCCAGGTGATCAGCCAGATAATGAGCAAGAAAGCACTAACAAACAGATTGACCTTGATGAGGCTGGAGCTTTAGATCGAGCTGATCGCTTGGAATTTAATGTTCGAAGGAGTGTGAGAATCGCTAGCAAGAGAGAGAGGGAGGCCAAGGGCCAGAGGAACGCCTTGATGTTTTCTTGATGTTTTCTAAAGGGTATTAAACAGACTGTTTGAAAATACCCCAGTGTCAGAGCAACTTCTCACTTCAGTCAAGGGGCTTGGGATTTATCTTGTAGTTTTCATGTTCATGGTTTCAGGACTTTGTCATGTTCTCATGAGACTTTGCTTTGTCGGTGTCTCCATGGATCCTGTTTTCAAGTGTTACCTTGTATTGAACTTTAGAACTATACTTTTGCTTTTTGAACTTTTTATCTTTTACTTTAATAAACCAAAAAGACTATTGCCTGTGTGCTGTTTGGTGTCTTAAGCAAGGTAATTCTACTCTGAGGTGCGACATTTACAGCAACTGGGAGTGATTTAAAGTACGGATATTACACATTGCATATATATTCTGCAATAACAGCACAGAGGATTGGCACTTCCAGTACTTGCTTTGTTTTTCAAGGAAAATTTCTAGTCCTTAACTAGTAAACTACTCAATGAAACCACAGGAAGTGGATCATCCAACATAAGCGCTCCCAAATTTCGTTTCTGGGTCTTATCAGTGCAACTACAAATGGAGAGTTAATTAATAACACGCTGGGGGAAAACTTCAATGCCAAGCCTTGATGCAATTTCAGGGAAACCAGAGAGCTTCTCACCAATATCGGCCAAAATCTGGGGAAAAGAGAACTGCCAGAAATTGTAATGTTTTTTTAACTGCTGTCAAAGCTCTGATTTTCAAATTGTGTCTTCTTTCCCTTCATGTGGGGGCTGATAAGAATGACTTGAAGGTACACAACAACAGCAATAACATGCAGAGGGCACAAGTCTACAAAAGCACAAAAATCCAATTCCATTAAGAAAAAAAGCCTTAAAGATTAAATTTATTGGGTAATTGGCTGCTGAAATGAAAGAAACCAGATGAGGCCAAACTGCAAAAGATGCTCCACAGTGCAATGTGTAACTCATGGCTCATTGCTCTCACTAACACACAAAAACCTCTGCATATGCAAACAAAGGGAACAGAATGCTTAAGAGTAAGATAAACTATGGGGAAAATGTTAAATTGCAGTGTTCTGGTGCCAAATTGCATGTATAATAGTTTCATTACATTGACAAAGGACACACATTCAATACATACAAACACATTCAGATGCCAAAGGAGTCTTTTGGAAACTATGCAAGTAAGGTGTATATATCTCCCACTCTGGACATTCCACAGATATATAAACCTCACGTGCCTAGTTTCCAACAGACCTCTCAACCTCTGAGGATGCCTGCCATAGATGTGGGCAAAATGTCATGAGAGAATGCTTCTTGAACATGGCCAGGAAGCCCAGAAAACTCACAGCCACATTTTAAAGATTTTTAAATAGCCAAACGGGGAATTTATTAGTATAACTAGTTGTACCTGCCACACATTGCTGTGGCCAACCTTCCCTCTCTCTTTCTCTTCTCCTTTCTTTCTCTCCTTCCCTTCCTCCCTTTTTAAATTCCTCCTCTTCTTCCTTCCTTCTCTTCCTCTTCCCTCCCTCCCTCCCTCTTTCTCCCCTTTCTTCCTTCTCTACCTATTCTTGGACTGCAACTCCCAGCAGTCTTCCTGATCAATCTATATACCTACCTACCTATCTAATCTATATATCTTATCTATCTGGAGGATTGCTGGGAGTTGCAGTCTAGGAATAGAAATCCCTGGAAATATGCAGGGATTGGGATGCTCTCAAAGAAATCCAAGGAGAAGAAAGCTTGCAGCTTGGAAGCAGCGCATTTGGATCACCCTCCTCTCTTACAGGGCCTGGTCTAGGCGATGCTGGGAGCTGTAGTCCAAAAGAGAGTGCGGATATACTTTTGTGTGTTTTGTTTGCCAGGGAGAAATTGTTTTTGCGCATGCACTGTTGTGTCTTTTTGCTTTTTTGGCCTTTTAAGTCTCCCTTCTGTTGTGTTTTTCAGTATTTTATGATGGATGGTCACTTGTTGGCCTGATAAGTGTGTTGTGTCCAAATTTCGTGTCAATTGGCCCACTGGTTTTTGAGTTCTGTTAGTCCCACAAACAAACATTACATTTTTATTTATATAGTTGATAAGGACAGATTTTGCTAGATATTCATTCCATTTTGAATGGTGCCAGAAGTCACAGGTGGTGGTTTCCGGTTGGGAATGGGGAGGTGGTGGGGCATCTTGATAGTTGCATTTCGTAGATTGTATGCTTTTTTTCATATATCACAATAAAAAAATTACTGAAACGACGCAAACCGGTTGTGGATTGAGGAGAAATCTTTGATCAACTTCCAGGAAAGACTGGGGCTTGTTCACCCTCTTACCTAGGCAAGTGGCCCGATCTGCTGCAAGCTCGTACCCAAGAGGACACTCACACCGGTAACTGCCCACCGTGTTGATGCAGACCGACTCGGGGCTGCAGCGGCTGATGCCCGCGGCACATTCATTGATATCTGAAGAGAGGGGACAGGAAGAGGGAATGAACCACGCCTGGCAGCAGTGCGCATTCCCATCCCCGCATGATTCAGGACATGTTTCCATGAGGATCTGGTCAGCCGTGGATCTCCCCTGGTTCGCCCCCATCACTCCCCGTATTATCTCAGTTCATTCTGGGCAGCCGTTCAGCCCTCTTGCGGTTAGAAAAACACAACCGGTGCCAAATGGTTCCAGATGTTTTTCTAAGTTCCAAAGCTTAACCTCTTAAATGTGATGAGAGAGCACAAGTTCAGCTTCAAATAACACTAACGGCAGGGGACGGAATTTCTATCTGAGCTGAAGTAAGAGAATGCACAAAAAGGACAAAGCTCCAATTCCTGTGTACACTCAAGCTATCAAATATTAGAAAGCCCAAGAGACTCTTGCACACTGATGGGCATTTCCTTTCTGATGCATTACTTTCTTCCTTCTTCATATTCTGGCTTAGAGAGTTCTCCAGTTTCTATTTGCCTTCTCTTTAAATAACCCAGATCTGGACACTAATTCAACAGGGCCCGTCCAATCCTCAAGAGCGTTTTTGTGTGTGTTCATGCAAGAAAGCGAGAGAAGAGGGAGAAAGAGAGGGACAGGCACACAGAATAGCCTCTTGTACCCAGCACTCCCTTCTTAGCCATTGGAGTAAACTGAGGCCCCATCTACACTGACTATTTAATGCAATTCTTAGCTAGCCAAACAACGAACTCCCACAAAAGCATGCAAAAGAAATCCCTTTATGTGCACCAGTGCTTTCTGGTTTGCAATTCAGGTCTCACGTTGGTTCCAGGACTTCCTATGTAATCATCTGCACAGCAAAACCACTTTCTTCAATACCAGTTTGAAATTGAATAAATAGTAGTAGTAGTAGTAGTAGTAGTAGGAGGAGGAGGAGTAATAATAATAATATATGAGGATTTAAAGATCAAATTGCAAAGACTACGGCACAAGCCAATCAAGGTGGTCCCAGTGGTGATGGGCACACTGGGTGCAGTGCCTAAAGACCTTGGCCTGCACTTAAACACAATCGGCGCTGACAAGATTACCACCTGCCAGCTGCAGAAGGCCACCTTCCTGGGATCTGTATGCATTATTCGCCGACACATCACACAGTCCTAGACACTTGGGAAGTGTTTGACATGTGATCCAATACAACAGCCAGGAGAGTGTGTGCTGTGGACTCATCTTGTTGTGTTTCAAAAAATAATTATTTATTTATGGGCCCAAGAGATGCCCAGATGTTTTCCCATCCTATGGGAGGCTTCTCTCATGATAAAGACAAAGGAAGCACCTCTCTTTTCATAATCTTTTGACTTCAAAGAACTGCCTATGTGACTTCCAGCATGTCCACTTTCTAGAAGATTCTCCAAGACCCATGAAACTGACAGGGAAGGAAGTGAGGTAACACAGAAACATGGAGACAAGAGAACCATTTCAATGTGTATGCAAGATGGTTAGTTTAACAACAGCAACAATAACAACAACGTAAGGAAAAGACACTGGAATTGCTCAGTGTAGACTCTGAAGCTGTTCAACAATACTTTAACAATCACTGTGGCTCAATACCATGGAATCCTGGAAGTTGTATTTTAGACACCACCCTGAAACAAGATAGAAAAGAACTAGGCTTGAGTTGGACTCACCTGTGCATTCTTTCCCATCCCCATAGTAGCCAGCTGTGCACTCGCAGGTGTAATCCAAACCAGAGCCAGGCTGGCACCGTGCCGTTGTGTCGCATGAGTGGGTTCCATCATAGCATGGGTTCAATGCAACCATCCCAGCATCATCTACACCAGCAAAAAAAGAGAAAGGGGTGGGTTAGAACAAAACATAGACTTCAAGCCTTGGCCGTTCAGGAGATGTGTGTCTTGGTTTCTTGTCACGTTCAGAACTTTGGAGAAAGTCTAAGACCCAGTTATAGAATCACTGACTTGGAGAAACCAAAGGGTATCCAGTCTAACTTCCTTCTGCTGTACAGGAAAGAAAACCCTCCCAACGGATGATCATCCAGCCTTAGTTTAAAAATCTCCAGAGAAGGAGACTCCACTGGATTCCCTGGCAGCATATTGAACTGCCAAACAGCTCTGACTGTCAGGAAGTTCTTCCCAAAGTGAAGGTGGAATTTCTTTTTCCTGCAATTTCAGTCCATTACTCCATTGTATCCTCGTTTCTGGAGTAACAGAAAATATATTGTCGAAGGATTTCATGGATGAAATCACTGGGTTGTTGTAGGTTTTTTGGGCTATATGGCCATGTTCTAGAAGCATTCTCTCCTGACGTTTCACCTGCACCCATGGCAAGCATCCTTCACTTCACTTCACTTCACTTCACTTTATTACTTAATTAGTTGCTCTCCACCAAGGTGCTCCAAGCAACTTACAGTCTAAAATAGCATTTACACAATATAAAAACATTCAACATAAAAACATTCAACAGTGACTATTTGGCAAATTAGATCTGATTACTTAAATGCACAACCAAACAGCCAAGTCTTGAGTGCCTTTACAAAAGGTTGCAACTCCGACATTGCTCTAACGTATGGAGGCAATGAGTTCCACAGAATTGGAGCATAGGTCGAAAAAGCTCTACACCTTGTAGCTTCCAGGTGTCCCTCCCTAGGGCCCGGTATGTATAGGAGATTTTCCTGGGTGGATCGAGGTGACCACCGATGGAGAAAAGTGCATTACACACTGGTAATGCACTTAGGCGGTCCCTAAGATATAAAAGTCCTTGGCCATTTTGAGATCTAAATGTCAGGATCAGTATCTTGTAAGAGATCTGATGTTCTCTTGGTAGCCAATCCTGTTGTTGCAGAATCGGTGTAATACGGGATCTTAGAGGTGATCCCGCTAGCAGCCTGGCCGCCGCATTTTGGACCATCCGAATCTTCTGGGTTGTTGACTTGGGAAGCCGGCATATAAGGCATTGCAATAGTCCAACCTCATGGTGACTGTTGCGTGGATTACTGTTGCCAATGCTTCTACCAAAAGGTAGGATGCCAATTTCCTTGAGGTTGTGGAATAAAGAAGTCTAAGATAAGAAGGGAGTGGAATATTTTCATTGCATGGTCTTTAAAGTGGGAGGTTGGAAGTCGATACAGCTGAATGGTGTAACATTAAAAAATGTTGACCACCTCCTCTACCTTGGTCAACTTTTTCTAATGTTACACCATTCAGTCAACGGTGTGATTCAGCAGCTTGAAAAGCCAATGCAATTCTTGGCTGCATCTATAAAAGGATGGTGTCTAGATCGAGGGAAGTCCTAATCCCTCTCTCTTCTGCTTTGGTCAGACCTCACCTGGAATAACACTGTGTCTAGCTCTGGGCTAAGCAAATCAAGAAAGACATGGGCAAGACAGGACATGTGCAAAGAAGGATGACCACAATGGTCAAAGTCTGGAAGCCAAGCCCTATGAGGAGAGAAGCTTAAGGAGCTGGGTAGGTTTAGCTCAGAGAAGAGAACGCTGAGAAGGGACATATTAGCCATGTTTAAATATTTGAAGAGATGTCATATTGAGAAGGAGACAAGCTTGTTTTGTTCTGCTCTAGAGATGAGGACAAAATGGTACTGAAAGCCTTCAGAAGATTTTAAAGACCCAACCCGGAGAGGGAGATGAGCACTAGATCGTCTGCATACATCAGGATACAGATCTTTCTGTTCCATAGGACACAATGGAATAATAGATTCAAACTCCAGGAAAATATATTCTATCTAAAAATCTGGGTTTTTGTAGGTTTTTTGGGCTGTATAGCCATGTTCTAGAAGCATTCTCTCCTGATGTTTTCCTGTATCTATGGCAGGCATCCTCAGAGGTTGTGAGGTCTGTTGGAAACTAGGAAAATGGGATTTATATATCTGTTGAAAGTCCAGGATGGGAGAAAGAACTCTTGCCTGTTGGAGATAGGTGTGAATGTTTCAATTGGCCACCTTGATTAGCATTTGATTGCCTAGCACAGGGGTCCTCAAACTTTTTAAACAGAGGGCCAGGTCACAGTCCCTCAAACTGTTGGAGGGCCGGATTATAATTTGAAAAAAACACGAATGAATTCCTATGCACACTGCACGTATCGTATTTGTAGTGCAAAAAACACTTTAAAACAATAGAATAATTAAAATGAGGAACAATTTTAACAAATATAAACTTATTAGTATTTCAGTGGGAAGTGTGAGCCTGCTTTTGGCTGACTAGATAGGATTGTTGTTGTTGTTGCTGTTGTTGCTGTTGTGTGCTTTCAAGTCGTTTCAGACTTAAGGTGACCCTGACGAAGGGCTGGGTAAATGACCTTGGAGGGCCGTATCCGGCCCTCAGGCCTTAGTTTGAGGACCCCTGGCCTAGCAGTTTCAAGGTCTGGCTTCTTACTGCCTGGGGGAATCCTTTGTTGGGAGGTGATTAGTAACTGCCAGAGCAGATTGACAGAGGAATATTATGTCTCAGAGTCTGGGGGTATCCCTTTCTCTATGAGTTTTTAAGCAGAGGCTGCATGGTCATCTGTTGGGAGGGCTTAGATTATTGACATGGCTAAATGGCATTGGAATAAATGGCCTTTGGGGTTTCTTTCAACTCTAGGATTCCATGGGAGCCCAGATGTGGACTGGAGCATGGACCCCCATGAGAACCAAGCCCAAACTCACCTCCGAGGGGCCCAATCTGGTTGGTGACGGCATAACGGAGCACTTGTTCCTCCTCGTTGTACAAAGCAAATATTCTGTCCACAGTGAGCTGCTGCGTGACCGGAGTCCTCAGGCGATGCCTTGCGTGGGGACAGCTCTGGTAAGTGAGATTCTGGCGCAGCCGGTAGGACAAGGTTTGGTTGAGGGTCCCAGAGGCAAATAAGGAATATTCCCGGTAAGACGTTGATGCCACTGCTGCAAAAGAAAGCAAGCAAGACCCAGGGTTAGAACAGCTACTGGATCCAGCATCAGCCATTGCTGTCTCCCAGATCCAAGTCTGAAACAGGCCAATTGCTGGACTCCAGGACAGGAATAACCCTCTGACTTTAAAACACCACATGTTGAGTAGGGAAAAAACAATCCTTTTATTGAAGATAAGTAAAAGCAGCAAAGTAAAAAAGACACTTTAAAGAAATAGGTAAATCCAATTAGGTAAGGAGATAAGCAGGAACCAATTAGTCCAAGGTAAAGTTCAGCAAAGTCCAAAAACAAAGTCCACATTTCTCTAACGAAATCCAAAGAACCAGGGAAAGTTGATCCAAGGCATGAGTATGTAATCACAAGGGACAAAAAGCCAAACCAAGAAACAAGAAATCCTTACGCATGAATCTTCCAACCACGGCTTCCATGAAACAAGAACAAGAACAGAGCAGGATTCTAAATGATGCTTCATCTGACTAGATTTCCCATGCTTGGAACTTTTAAGCCATTCCAAGCACCCAGGAACTGGTTTCTCTTTCCTTGAGCAGCCCTTATCTTTTTCTGTCGGAGCCTGGCAGAATGCCAAAGGCATTGCTCGACCTGTCTGTTTTGATTAATTTCTGCTTGCCTATCTATCTGGTGCGGATGAGCTCTCTCTGTCAGCTACAGCTCCCAATTGAGGGGACATGAGAGAAGCCTACCACAAGGATGGTAAAATATCAAAACATCTGGGCACCCCCTGGGCAACGTCCTTGCAGACTGCCAATTCTCTCACATCAGGAGCGACTTGCAGTTTCTCAAGTCGCTCCTGACACGAAAAAAAAGGGGGGCGGGATCGGATTGGAGTACCAAATCAAAATTATTCCCACAGACAAGTAAGCTTACATTTATATCTATATCTATATCTATATCTATATCTATCTATCTATATAATAAAAGTCAGTGTTTGTATGTATGTTTGCATGTATATATGTATGTATGTATGCATGCATGTATGTATGTAAATATGTATATGTGTGGAGGTGTGGGTATGTTGCAGCTTTCTGATTAGCTCCCATTTTCACAGGCCACTGTGACCCACACGAATGATGGACCTGGACCAAACTTGGCACACATAACCCCCATGACCCACTCTACATCTTGGTGCAGGTTGAAGGAGGACGGACCTTGGATTATGGGACTTGCAGACCTTCACTCACTTCCTGAGACCACTTCAGCCTTCATCCAATGACTGATCAAGACCAAACTTGACACACAGAGCCCCCATGACCCACTCTACATCCTGGTGCAGCTTGAAGGAGGACGGACCATGGATGATGGGACTTGCAGTACTTTCACTCACTTCCTGAGACCACTGCGACCCTCATCCAATAACTGAACTCCAATACCAATGGATACAATGGTGCATCTATACCAGGGGTCCTCAAACCTTTTAAACAGGGGGCCAGATCACTGTCCCTCAGTCAGACTATAGTTAAAGTTGACGCACAGAGCCCCCATGGCCCACTCTACATCATGGTGTGGTTTGGGGGAGGATGGACCACGGATGATGGGACTTGCAGTACCTTCATTCACTTCCTGAGACCACTTCAACCTTCATCCAATGACTGATCAAGAGCAAACTTGGCACACAGAGCCCCCATGACCCACTCTACATCCTGGTGCAGCTTGAAGGAGGACGGACCATGGATGATGGGACTTGCAGTACCTTCACTCACTTCCTGAGACCACTGCAACCCTCATCCAATGACTGATCAAGACCAAACTTGACACACAGAGCCCCCATGACCCACTCTACATCCTGGTACTGTTTGGAGAAGGATAGACCATGGGTGATGATCCTGGGACACTTTGGAAGAGTTTGGACCATGGATGATGAGACTTGCATATGGGAGTTGTAGTTCACCCGCACCCACTGAACCCAGCTGATATTGGATCTAGACTAAACTTGGAGCACAGACAAACAGTGCCTTTCTCAAATTACCCGGGCACCACCGGGTCCCCAAGCTAGTAGGAAATAAAATTAGAGGCTCATCCAAAATACCTGAATCCATGTACTGGTAGATCTCCTTGTAAGGTGCGATGTGGACAGTAAAATTCTCCGGAATATAAGGCACCTGCCCTTGAATTTCGGTCCGAACGCTGAGATAATTTTCGGCATCCAGACCATCAGCGGTTTGCTTGACAGAAACAGTTTCTCCTCCAGGATAGAAAGTGGCTTCAAGGCGGTGGGTGAATTTAGCGCCTATTTTCAGAGGGAGAGATTAAGTAGGGTTGAAATCCCAACCATATTAAGCCTTGCGCAAAACATTTTGAAAATGAATGGGGATGTATTAAGCAGAGTATATATAGTGTCTAGATCAGGCATGGGTAAACTTGGGCCCTCCAGGTGTTTTGGACTTCAACTCCCACCATTCCTAACAGCCTACCGGCTGTTAGGAATGGTGGGAGTTGAAGTCCAAAACACCTGGAGGGCTGAAGTTTGCCCATGCCCAGTCTTGGTGGAGGGAAGTCATAGCCCTGCTCTCTTCTCCTTTGGTCAGACCTCACCTGCAATACTATGTCCACTTCCGGTCACTACAATTCAACAAGGATATTCACAAGCTAGAAAGTGTCCGGAGAAGGACAACCAAAATGATGAAAGGTTTGGAAACCAAGTCTGTAGAGAACTGGGGGTGTTTACTTTGGAGAAAAGAAAGCTAAAAAAAGGTGACATGAGAGCTATGTTTCAATACTTAAAGGATGTTATATTGATGATAAGGATGATGATGATGATGCCTTGGTACCCCTCTATTCTGCCTTGGTTAGACCACACCTGGAATATTGTGTCCAATTCTGGGCACCACAATTCAAGAGAGATATTGACAAGCTGGAAAGTGTCCAGAGGAGGGCAACTCAAATGATCAAGGGTCTGGAGAACAAGCCCTATGAGGAGCGGCTTAAGGAGCTGGGCATGTTTAGCCTGACGAAGAGAAGACTGAGAGGAGATATGATAGCCATGTATAGATATGTGAAAGGAAGCCACAGGGAGGAGGGAGCAAGCTTGTTTTCTCCTTCCCTGGACGCAATGGAACAATGGCTTCAAACTACAAGAAAGGAGATTCCATCTGAACATGAGGAAGAACTTCCTGACTGTGAGAGCTGTTCAACAGTGGAACTCTCTGCCACAGAGTGTGGTGGAGGCTCCTTCTTTGGAGGCTTTTAAACAGGGGCTGGATGGCCATCTGTTGGGGGCGCTTTGAATGCAATTTTCCTGCTTCTTGCCAGGGGGTTGGACTGGATGGCCCATGAAGTCTCTTCCAACTCTAGTATTCCAAATAGAAACAACCAGTCCTAATAAGTCCTGGAGTGTTAGACAGAGACTGGATTTCTGTTTCAGGTTTCCCATACAGCTTCAGATTGTCCATGTACATGTTTTATGGATACAGAAGCATTATTATTATTATTATTATTATTATTATTATTATTATTATTATTTAGATAAAGGTAAAGGTTGTCCCCTGACATTAAGTCCAGTGATGTCTGACTCTGGGGTGTGGTGCTCATCTCCATTTCTAAACTGAAGAGCCGGCGCTGTCCGTAGACACCTCCAAGGTCATGTGGCTGACATGACTGCATGGAGCGCTGTTACTGTCCCGCTGGAGTGGTACCTATTGATCTACTCACATTTGCATGTTTTCGAACTGCTAGGTTGGCAGAAGCTAGGGCTGACAGCGGAAGCTCACGCTGCTCCCCGGAATCGAACCTGCGACCTTTCGGTCAACAAGCTTAGCAGCTCAGTGCTTTAACCCACTGCGCCACTGAGGACCCCTATTATTATTATTATTATTATTATTATTATTATTATTATTATTATTTATACCCTGGTTTATCTCTCCAAAGGAGACTCAAAATGGCTAATGTGATAGTGAGCATCACTGCTCAGGTGGAGACCATGCACCTCTTCCTCTCACCTGCAATACTGAAGCCGTTTTCGTAGCCAGGTTTCTCCAGAGCGAAAAGCCAGCCAAAGAAGCCCCCGATGGGAGCTAGCGGCATCAGAGACCGAGCGGCTGGCTGAGGGATGTGGCTGATGGCCGTATACGCTCGCCCATCGTTGCCAACGATGTAGGCATGCAAGTCAACGTCCGCAAAGTGCACAGGTGTCCGTCCCACCAGCAGGTCTCCACTGACTTTGCCGTTCAGGCGATGAGCAGCACCTGGAATGACAAGAGCCACTCGTTATCTGAGTTCTAGGTCCTTCCCCAGGAATGCCGAGTCTTGAGAGATTTCACCAAATTGAAATTATACAGGCAACCTTTGACATTTACAGGTTTACATTTGGTGGATTTAACTGCACCAAGCCCCCAGTGGCGCAATGATTTAGGCCCTTGTGCCAGCAGGACTGAAGAGTAACAGGCTGGAGGTTTGACTCTGGGGGGAGCGTGGATGAGCTCCCTCTGTCAGCTCCAGCTCCCCATGCGGGGACATGAGAAAAGCTTCCCACAAAGATGGTAAAACATCAAAAACATCCAGGTGTCCACTGGGCAATGTCCTTGCAAACAGCCAATTCTCTCACGCCAGAAGCAACTTGCAGTTTCGCAAGCCGCTCCTGATACGAAAAAAAATTGCACTATGTAACAAAATCTGAAAAAAAAAAACCTGTTTCTGTTTTGAAAGTGTTATTTCCTGTTTAATTGTGCAGGCCTTACTTTCAAAGTAGTTCTACTCCAGAAACTTTGTTTTTGTAGCTGCCGCAAACTGTGTTGAATTGGTTGAGACTCTTATGAGATATTCATTGAAATGATACAGCAAAATTTGTTGCAGGATGTCCCCAAATACAAAGTTATTACAATTTAATAAAACTTTACGATGTTTTTTTTATAATAGACTCAATTAGGAAATGACATTTATAACACACAAACAAAAATTGTGTTACATAGTGTCATTCATTGTCGAGCTCTAATTTCTTAGATAGGGTTATCATGGTTTCCTATGGACAAGCAGATGAAGTACACTATATGGCATATATTCTGTTATTCAAAAACTAGAGGGGAAACTGGTGCCATTTGGGAAGGGGGAGGATCATTATTTATTTATTTATTATTTATTTAAAAGTTTTATACACCGAACTTCTCACCTCTCTTGAGGGACTCAGACCGCTTTCCAACCATAATATCACACACAGTTAATAAAAACATAATAATTCATTTTACACTAAAACATTAAAACAGCAATTACATTCAATAACTATAATGGTCAGTCGTCACACTATAATCGTTGCTCATCATCCTCCATCCATATCTCAGGGTGTTGGCTCACTCGTCGAATGCCTGTCTCCATAACCAAGTCTTCACCTGTTTCCTAAATGTCAGGATAGAAGGGGCGGTTCTGATCTCCAGTGGGAGAGAGTTCCAGAGTTGAGGGCCACCACCGAGAAGGCCCTGTCCCTCGTCCCCACCAGACGCGCTTGCGAGGCCGGTGGGACCGAGAGCAGGGCCTCTCCAGACGATCTTAATAATCTTGATGGTTCATAGGGGAGAATATGTTCGGAGAGGTAAACAGGGCCGGAGTCGTTTAGGGCTTTATAGGTTAACACCAGCACTTCTTCTGCGGGCGAAGCGTCAGGAGAAATGCCTCTAGAACATGGCCATATAGCCCGAAAAAACCCACAAGAACTGAGTGATTCCAGCCATGAAAGCCTTTGAGGGCTGGAGTCGTTTAGGGCTTTATAGGTCAACACCAGCACTTTGAATTGTGCTCGGAAGCTGATTGGCAGCCAGTGGAGCTGGTGTAACAGCGGAGTGGTGTGCTCCCTGTACCCAGCACCCGTTAGTAGTCTGGCTGCCGAGCGTTGGACTAGCTGCAGCTTCCGGGCAGTCTTCAGAGGCAACCCCACGTAGAGAGCGTTGCAGTAGTCTAAACGGGATGTAACCAAAGCGTGGACTACCATGGCCAAGTCAGCCTTCCCAAGGTACGGGCGCAGCTGGCGCACAAGTTTTAATTGTGCAAAAGCTCCCCTGACCACCGCCGAAACTGGGCAGGCCAACTGGGCAGGCCAAACACAAGGAAATGACATTTAGAACGCAGGCATGGACAAACTTTGGCCCTCCAGGTGTTTTGAACTCCAACTCCCACAATTCCCAACAGCCTACCAGGTATTAGTAATTGTGGGAGTTGAAGTCCAAAACACCCGGAGAGCCCAAGTTAGCCCATGCGTGGCTAGATCAAGGGAACTCTTTTCTGCCTTGGCTAGACTTTACCTGGAATAATCCTGTGTCCAGTTCTTGGCAAAGCAATTCAAGAAGGAGATGGACAAGATGGAAAGTGTCCAAGGAAAGGCAACCAAAATGGTCAAAGGTCTAGATGCTATGAAACTCTATGAGGAGCAGCTCAAGGAACTAAATATGTTTAGCTTGGAGGAAAGAATGCTGAGAGGGGAGGTGATAGATATGTTTAAATATCTGAAAGGACGTCCCATTGAGAGCAAGAGCAAGCTTGTGTTATGCTGCTCCAGAGACCAGGGCACAATGAAACCATGGATTGGAACTCACTACCTGGAGAAATTAGGAAAGCCCCTACCGTAGAAACCTTTAAAAAGGACCTTAAAACCTGGCTCTTCCGCTGTGCTTTTGATGCATAGGTTTACATTCTCACACTATTGCTTAGCCTCAATGTTTTGTCATTGGAGTATATGTTCACCCCCTTTGTGGGAAAGTCTGATTTTACAACCCCCACTATAATGAGCCCTCCTCTGCAAATAATCTGTCTCTCTCTTATCTTGCCTGAGTTTTAATTAGTTTTAATCAGTCTCTCTTTCAATCATTACATGTAGCCCGCCCATTGTCATTGTGATTGTACCTATTGTAATTTTATATTGCTATGTTTTCTTATGTTTTATGTAATTATGTTGTTTGTTGTTTATTGATTGCATTTTTGGTTTTATTTTATTGTAATTTTCTGTTTGGGCTTGGCCTCATGTAAGCCGCTCTGAGTCCATTGGGGAGATGGTGGCAGGGTATAAATAAAGTATTATTATTATTATTATTATTATTATTATTATTATTATTATTGTGCCCTAGCCTGTACAAACTACAGGAAAACTACCTAAAAATTAGGAAGAACTTCCTGACAGTAAGAATTACTTTGGAATATCGGCTGCCTCAGAGTGTGGTGGAGCCTTCTTTTCTGGCAGTTTCTAAACAGAGGCAAGATGGCCATCTGCTGGGAGTGCTTTAAATGCATGTTCCTGTCTGACGGGTTGGGTTAGATGGCCTTTGGGGGTCTCTTCCAATACTATGATTCTATCTAGTTACCACCGCAATATTTATTTATTTATTTATTTATTTATTGCATTTGTTGACCGCCGCTCTCAGCCCTAGGGCGACTCGCGGCGGTGTACAACATATAAAACAGTTTACAGTAGAGCACAATAAGAAATCAACATATCAATAAGACAAACTAATCTAAATTACACTAACTAATCCGCTCCGTCACATCAGAATCATAACCAATCTCATAATCCATATTCCGTTCCAGTTGTCGTTACCAGTTAATGTAGCATTTAGTTAAATGCCTTCTCAAATAGCCAGGTCTTTAGGCTCTTACGGAAAGCCATAAGGGAGGGCGCCTGTCTGATGTCAACAGGGAGGGTGTTCCACAGCCGGGGGGCCACCACCGAGAAGGCCCTCTCTCTCGTCCCCGCCAGACGTGCCTGTGAAGCAGGCGGGATCGAGAGAAGGGCCTCCCCAGACGATCTCAAGGTCCTCGTGGGCTCATAGGCCAAGATGCAGTCCGAAAGGTATTTTGGGCCGGAACCGTTTAGGGCTTTGTAGGATAACACCAGCACCTTAAATTGGGCCCGGTAGCAGATCGGCAGCCAGTGGAGCTGGAACAACAAGGGCGTTGTGTGCTCCCTGCGTCCCGCTCCTGTTAGTAACATGGCTGCCGCGCGCTGGACTAGCTGAAGCTTCCGGGCCGTCTTCAAGGGCAGCCCCACGTAGAGAGCGTTGCAGTAGTCAAGGCGGGATGTGACCAGAGCGTGTACCACCGTGGCCAAGTCAGACTTCCCAAGGTACGGGCGCAGCTGGCGCACGAGCCTAAGCTGTGCAAATGCTCCCCTGGTCACCGCTGAAACCTGGGGATCCAGGCTCAAAGATGAATCCAGGGTCACACCCAAGCTGCGAACCTGCGCCTTCAAGGGGAGTGCGACCCCGTCCAGCACAGGCTGTAACCCTATACCCTGTTCGGCCTTGCGACTGACCAGGAGTACCTCTGTCTTGTCTGGATTTAATTTCAGTTTGTTCGCCCTCATCCAGACCATCACAGCAGCCAGGCACCGGTTCAGGACTTCGACAGCCTCCTTAGTAGCAGGTGGAAAGGAGTGACAGAGTTGGACATCATCTGCGTACAGATGACACCGCACCCCGAAACTCCGGATGATCTCACCCAGCGGCTTCATGTAGATATTAAACAGCATGGGGGACAATATCTCACAGTTGAGATTAAAAGATATAGATAACTTCTTGGGAGTTCAGCCTAAAACCCGGAACGGATTCGCCACTCTTCCCCACCAAGACGGAAACTGGTGTTACCTTACCTTCCGGTAAGCAGTGCTGTCCATTTCCATAAAATTTGGACTGGCAATGGCAGCAGAAACCGGTGCTGTAGTCTGTGCAGAAGGCATGCGGGGAGCACTGGCTGTGGTGAGTCTCGCAGGTTTCAACATTGGGAGCGCTGTATGTGAACCCTGGGACAGAAAACATAACAGTATGACATCAAAACAGGTTATGTATTTCTTTATTTCATTTGTATGCCTCTAAACCAGTCATCCTCAAACGCCCAAATGCCGCAACTCCTTAGTACAGTTCCTCCTGTTGTGGTGACCCCCAACCATCACATTATTTTCCTTTGCTACTTCATAACTGTCATTTTGCTACTGTTATGAATCGTAATGGAATATCTGATATGCAGGATGTATTTTTATTCGTTGGACCAAATCTGGCACAAATACCCAATATGCCCAAATTAGAATATTAGTGGGGTGAGGTGGGGATTGATGTTGTCATTTGGGAGTTGTACTTACTGGGATTTGTAGTTCGCCTACAATCAAAGAGCATTCTGAACTCCACCAATAATGGAATTTAACCAAACTTGGCTCAAAGAACTCCCACAACCAACAGAAAATACTGAGTGTGTTTGGTGAGCATTGACCTTGAGTTTTAGAGTTGTAGTTCACCTACATCCAGAGAGCACTGTAGACTCAAACAATGATAGATCTGGACCAAACTTGGCACTAATACTCAATATACCCGAATGTGAACACTGGTGGAGTTGGAGAAAATAGACCTTGACATTTGGGACTTCTAATTGCTGGAAGTTATAGTTCACCAACAATCAAAGCACATTCTGAACCCCAGCAATGATACTTTTGGACCAAACTTCCCACACAGAACCCCCATGACCAACAGAAAACACTGTTTTCTGATGGTCTTTGGCGACTCCTCAGGCACCCCCTCGAGACCCCCCAGGAGTCCCGACACCCAGGTTGAGAACCACTGCTCTAAACTGTAGAATTAATACAGTTCAGCACCACTTGATGCTATGGAATAATAGAAGATGACATTTTACTATTATTAGACCGGGTTGTGGAGCAGCTGGTTGGGAGTCAGCTAAATTCAATTCACTACTGACCGAAAAGTCATGAATTCAAGGCCTGCCCAGGTTGGAGTAAGCGCCTGACCATTTGTCTAGCTTGCTGTTGACCTTTGCAGCCCGAAAGACAGTTGCATCTGTCAAGTAGGAAATGTGGGAACCACTTATACAGGGAGGCTAATTTAACTAATTTAAATGTAAAGGTAAAGGTTTTCTCCTGACGTTAAGTCCAGTCGTGTCCGACTCTGGGGTGTGGTGCTCATCTCCATTTCTAAGCCAAAGAGCTTAGAAATGTCCATAGACATCTCCTGGTCATGTGCCCAGCATGACTGCATGGAACGCTGTTACCTTTCCGCCAGAGGTACCTATTGATCTACTCACATTTGCATGTTTTCGAACTGCTAGGTTGGCAGAAGCTGGGGCTGACAGTGGAAGGACATGCTGCTCCTGGAATCGAAACTGCGACCTTTTGGTCAAGAAGTTTAGCAGCTCAGTGCTTTAACCCACTGTGTCACTGTGTCATAAAATTACTGTGTCAAAAAATGATGCCTGACTAAAAAGGGTGTCACCAGCATGAAATGTCTGGAAAGCTCTGCTCCAGCGAGTCTCGATGCCTTGTTGTAAACGATTGTGGCAGCTTGCCTTTGTGAGTCTTCCAGCTCCTTTCTCCCATCCCAGTCACGCCATCCGATCCAAACCAATTTTCCTTAGAAGGGCCAGCTTTGGCATCCCGTGCAAACCCTGCGCATGCAAAGTCCCCCCAGCTGTTGGGCATCTCGTTTCACGTACCGAAATGCTGTGTCCGGCTGGCGGGTGGGATTCCTTCTTCTCCCTACATTTATGGCCCCTAATCTTTTCTATAGGTCTTCTGGACAAGCTTTCTAAAAACCCAGAAGGTGCTTTGGCCGAAAGCCCAGAAAGCTGCTGTTCTTGCCAGCTGTTGAAAAGGGGGAGCAGAGACTGGCCAAAACCCCTGGGTTGGCCAACAGCCATTGCTTACACAAACCTTGCCTAATAACCATGATGGGTATCATTTGCAACCACTTGTTTACTTTTCTCAGTATAAATGCACCAACAACCTATGAGTCTGAGTGTCTCAGAAAGGAACTGTCCCGTTCTCCCTCAAATATGGCCCACACCCAATTAAAGTTGCCTGCTGCTGCTGTGTATTTATTTACTGTATTATAATTCTGTGTTTTACCACACTGTTGTATTTATTTGTTTTTATAACTCTTGTATTGCACCTTTACTGTGGAGTACTGGCCGCCTTGAGTCCCCATGGGGAGAAAGGCAGGGTATAAATAAAGAAAATAAAGACATCACAACCTCTGAGGATGCCTGCCATAGATGTAGAGCCCAATTCAAAGTGCTGGTTCTGACCTATAAAGCTCTATACGGTTCTGGCCCAGCTTACCTGTCCGACCGCATCCACCCCTCCTACGTCCCACCTCATAATCTAAGATCATCCGGTGAGGCCCTACTCTCACTCCCATCAACAGCACAAATGCGCCTGGCAAGGATGAGAGACAGGGCCTTCTCACCGGTGGCCCTCCGCCTATGGAACACACTCCCAACTGAGGTAAGATTGGCCACTTCCCTTCTAGCTTTTCAAAAGAAATTAAAGGCATGTTTTGGGACCAAGCTTTCGGACGCAAGATGCAAGCAACACTTTAAAGGAATGTGACTGGAACTACTATATGGCTGATGAGACTGTTTTACTGTTTTAATGATGGCTTATGTATTGTTAATGATGCTTTTATGTTTAATAGTGGTTTTAATTACTGTAATTTGTTATGTAATGGCTTCATAACGGGGTCCATTGTAAGCCGTCCTGAGTCCCCCTTCGGGGGTTGAGAAGGATGGAATAGAAATGCGAGAAATAAATCAATAATAAATAAATAAATAATAGGTGAAATATCAGGAGAGAATGCTTCTGGAACATGGCCATAGAGCCTGGAAAACTCACAAAAGATGATGATGATAATAATAATAATAATAATAATAATAATAATAATAATAAGTCAACAATAGATCCCAAATGTTGCAAGGAAGCAGATGAAACAACAGATCCCATCCTAAGCTGCTGCAAGAAGATCGCACAGACAGACTACAAGCAGAGGCATAACACTGTTGCTCAGATGATTAATTGAAACTTGTGCCACAAACACATCTGCCTGCGACAACGAACTGGTGGGATCACAAGCCAGAAAGGTTACAGAGAATGAACACGCCAAACACCTCTGGGACTTCCGAATTCAGACAGACAAAACTTCTGACCTCACAATTGTGTTAAAAAATAAAGTGTGGATTGTCAATGTTGCAATCCCAGGTGACAGAAGGATTGCAGAGAAACAACTGGAAAAGCTGGCACGATATGAGACTCTGGCACAAACCAATCAAGGTGGTCCCAGTGGTGATCGGCACACTGGGTGCAGTGCCTAAAGACCTTGGCCTGCACTTAAACACAATCAATTCTGATAAAATCACCATTTGCCAGCTGCAGAAGGCCACTTTACTGGGATCAGCACGCATTATTGGCCGATACATCACACAGTCCTAGACACTTGGCAAGTGTCCAACGTATGATCCAATACAACAGCCAGCAGAGTGTCTGCTGTGGATTCATCTTGTTGTGTTTCAAATAATAATAATAATAATAATAGGTTGCTGTGAGTTTTCCAGGCTGTCTGGCCATGTTCTAGAAGCATTATCTCCTGACGTTTTGTCCACATCTATGATAGGCTTCCTCAGAAGTTGTGAAGTCTGTTGGCAACTAGGCAAGTGAAGTTTATATATCTGTAGAATGATGTCCAAGATGGGAGAAGGAACTCTTGTCTGCTTGGGGCAAGTGTGAAAGCTGCAACTGGCCACCTTGATTAGCATTCATAGAATACTACAGCTGGAAGAGACCTGGTGGGCCATCCAATCCAAACCCATACTGCCAAGAAGCAGGAAATTCGCATTCAAAGCATCCCTGACAGATGGCCATTCAGCCTCTGTTTAAAAGCCTCCAAAGAAGGAGCCTCCACCACATACCACACATTGAATGGCCTTGCAGCTTCAAAGCCTGGCTGATTGCTGCCTGGGGAAATCCTTTGTTGGGAGGTGTTGGCTGGCCCTGATAGCTATTGAGATTATAGCTAGAATACTTTGTGGAGCAGCACCCCGTTAGTGGTCTGTTCATTTCCTAAGGAAGGCTAGTTCAGGGTTTTGGCTAGATTCCTAAGGGGGATTTTGGGGAGTTACGTTCAGAGATTTCTTTCTTGAAGTAATTTTCTGTGTTGGAACTTTTAAGACTTGTAACCCAGAAGTTTTTGAGATCTTTACTCAAATGCAACCACAAGCTTTTGATGCTAATATTTTACTGAAACCATTAAGCATTTGTACCTGAATATTTCAAGCCTGTTCAATAAACGTTCTTGTTATTTTTATCAACTTATACCGGCCTCAGTGTGAATACCTTTGTGGTCAAAGCATGATTCCAGTCAGCTCTCAGCAGCCTCTAAGAAAACTGTGTCACTATTATAGTGATTCATTTCCTGAAGTAATTTTCTGTGTTGGAACTTTTAAGACTTGTAACCCAGAAGTTTTTGAGATCTTTACTCAAACCACAAGCTTTTGATGCCAGTATTTTACTGAAACCATTAAGCATTTGTACTTGAATATTTCAAGCCTGTTCAATAAACATTCTTGTTATTTTTATCAACTTATACTGGTCTCAGTGTGAATACCTTTGTGGTCAAAGCATGATTCCAGTCAGCTCTCAGCAGCCTCTAAGAAAACTATAGTGACACAGAGTGTGTTACTGCACAACCTCTCAATAATAATTCAGCCTGTTTATTACTAATATGGTGGCAGCGAAAATCTTTTGAAGAATCATTTTAAGTCTCTCAGTTCCAGTGGTTCCCAGTTCCTAACTTTTAAATAGACAGTTGGTTCAAGCAACCATACTCCCTCTATATTTTGGTGAGCTAGTCTGTAGTGGAGGTGTTATTGTTATAATTTGACTGAGCAGCGTTGGGATTATTTTTCTATATTTCCCTGTCTGACATCATTTATCCAATTTTGCTACTGTGGCCCTATAGACCAGGCATGGGCAAACTTTGGCCCTCCAGGTGTTTTGGACTTCAACTCTCACAATTCCTAACAGCCTACCGGCTGTTAGGAATTGTGAGAGTTGGAGTCCAAAACACCAGGAGGGCCCAAGTTTGCCCATGCCTGTTCTCTTGCATTTAGCTACAATAGCTAAATGCATTAGTGCAGATGCATCCCTAGCTCAAAGCACCACATTGGTTGACCTTTCAATGCTTACCATCTGGGTTAAAAGTAATGTCTTCATCGACCCCAACGACTCGTCTCCGGGGGCTGAAGGGTGGGGCGTTATCGGGAAAGCTTTCGAGAATAACCTCTCCCTCGGGGTAGACAGGGTAGTTCTCCGAAGGTGGACCGCTGTCCTCTTCTCCTAGCAGAACCGCTGTCACCGCCTCAAATGGCCTCTCATAAATCCACGGCATGGAGGGACTTGTGGAGTCCTCTTCCGATACAGAAGGTGCTGCGGTCGGTAACTGCTCCCCAAGAGCTTTCAGGACGGCATCCAAGTCCGGGTACGAAGGAAGGGGGCTGGCGGCCGGGTTATACACCCTGGACTCGGGCTCCAACTCCAGCGTTGCCCCTCCAGAATGCCTTGGCTCAGAGTAATCGAGGTGGTCGTCGAGGCTGAAGGAAGTGTCGGGAGGCCACGTCTCCACGTCAGACGCCGGCGGATCAGTCGGCCTGACAGACAAATACTCTTCTTCGCCTTCTTCATAGAAGGCATCGGCATAGTCGGCCGGCGAACTCGGGAAGATGGGCTCCAGGAAGTCATGATCCACAGCTGTCCTCTCTAGATTAATTGGCGAAGGACTCTTCCCAATTGAAGCTGGGATCACATTCTCCATGTGGGAAGAGCTGCCAATATGGAAGACCCAGACCCCTGGGATCCCGGCATTGCTGGACCTGAAATGAGAAAGAATACAAAAGAAATCCCAGAGTTAATCACTGGCAAGTAATGATTAGCTTGCAGAAGAGATGGTTTAGTGAGTGCTAGAAACAGTATCATACGAAAGCTGACTGGCACAACCTGGGGATCACAACCAGATACAATGAAGACATCTATCATTGTTGTTGTTCATTCGTTCAGTCATCTCCGACTCTTCGTGACCTCATGGACCAGCCCACGCCAGAGCTCCCTGTCGGCTGTCACCACCCCCAGCTCCTTCAATCTATCATTACATTTTGCTATTCTGTTGCTGAGTATACATGCCCAGTGTGGAACACATCTCACCACACTAAAACAGTGGATGTGGCTCTTAATGAGACATGACACATTATCACAGGTGGCACCCTCACCACGGGGGAAATGACACTTTCTAGCTGGTATTGCACCAACTGACATCCACAAGGAAGTAGCAACCTCTAATTGAAGGAACAAGGCAGTGACATCTCAGACCTATCCCCAGTATGATTATCAGCCAGGATGTAAATGCCTTAAATCAAGAAATATTTTTCTAAGACCTACAGAGATGATTGAGGAACACCTCAGCAAGCAAGAGTCCAAAAGTGGCAGGTTAAAACTCAGAACCTCAATCCATGGCTGATATCAAATGAGAGACTGCACCCTACACCACTGGAGAAATTACACTATTTAGCCAGTATTGCACCACCTGACATCCGCCGGGAAGTAGCAACCAATAGTGAAAGGACCAAGGCAGTGACATCTCCGGCCCATCCCCTGTTTGGATATCAGCCAGCACACCAATGACTTAAATCAAGAAATAGTTTTCTAAGATCTACAGAGACACTCGCTGGAACACCTCAGCAAGCGAGAGTCCAAAAGTGGCAGGCTCAAACCCAGAACCTCAATCCATGGATGATACCAAATGAGACTCCCTCCTGGGCACACAGAAGACTGGGCGACTTGGAAGGCGCTGAACAGACTGCGCTCTGGCACCACGAGATGCAGAGCCAACCTCAAGAAATGGGGCCACAAAGTGGAATCCACAACATGCGAGTGTGGAGAAAAGCAAACCACAGACCACCTATTACAATGCAGCCTGAGCCCTGCCACATACACAATGGAGAACCTTCTTATAGCAACACCAAAGGCACTCCAAGTGGCCAGCTACTGGTCAAAGGATATTCAGTATAATGCCAAGTTTTTAAACTTTGTTAAACAAATACAATACAACTGTTTGGTTAGTTCCTGACATTACTTGGATGGTTCCTTTTTTATATTATACTAGCTCCCCTGCCACGTTGCTGTGGCCCAGTCTGTGTATATGTGTTTTGTGTGTGTATATATTTGTGTATATGTGTTTGTGCATATATATGCATATATGTATGTATATATATGTGTGTATATATTTGTGTATATGTGTATATATGTGTGTATACGTATGTATATACTTGTGTATTTCTGTATTTATATGTGCATATGTATATTGAGTATATGTGTGTGCTTGTATATATATATACGTGTGTATGTATGTTTATACGTGTGTATGTATGTAAATGTGTATGTGTGCATGTATGCATGCATGTTTATATGTATGTGTAAATTTGTGTGTGCTTGTGTATATGTCTCTATGTGTGTGTGTATGCATGTGTGCATGTGTATATGTATATATAGTTTATTGGGGGGGGGGGGGTTAAGTCCATTCTGCTGGGTTTTTTTGTGTTTTTTTTTCATTTTGTGTGGCTTTTATATTTTTGTATTTTTTTTTTTTTTTTTTTTTGTTTTTTTGTTTTTATGAGTGATGGTTGTTGGCCTGAGAGGTGTCTTGTCCAAATTTGGTGTCAATTCGTCCAGTGGTTTTTGAGTTTATGTTAATCCCACAAACAAACCAACATTACATTATTATTTATATAGGTATGACTAAATATTTTATGTTGTGAAGAAGGGCAACGTGAATTGTTTGTAGACTACCTGTAAACCGTCCTTGAGTCGAAGACCTTTGGGTTGATGAAAGGCATATATTAAATACTAGCTGGACATACCACAAGCGTATGGCTGTCCAATACTTCCCCTCTTTCTCTCAGTCACTTCGTATATTTAGTATTTTTATCCCCTCAACATATCGTACCTATCCAGCCGTGCCTATCCTTCGCGCTTCTGTTTTTTTTTTTTTCCCTATCCCTCTTCTTTCTCTTTCCTCTGGTGCTTCCTCTTCTTCCCCCGCTTTCATGCT